GTATGTTTGGTACTAAGATCGATTGGATCGCGAAGACGTTCGACTACATCAACCATGTTAACCTAACGCTTTCGCTTTCGGTCTACGAGGGTACGTGAACACACTCTCCCCCTCTCGTTGCTATGCATCTGCTAGATAGATCTTGCGTGATCGTAGGAAATTTTTTGAAATTGCATGCTACGTTCCCCAACAAGTTCTTGCTTTTACCCTAAACTTGGCCTAGCAAACATGTAAATTAATAAAACAAAAATATAGGATTAAAAATGAAGTCGATGAAAAAACACAGCATGATAAGGTGTGTGTTCGCTTCTGGTCTCAAATGTAGGAAGAGTATCTACCATTGGGGCAAGCCTGGGCGGCCACCCCGGCTCAGTGGTGGCGGAGCGACGACCTCCCCCTACCTATCCTTCCTCCGGCCCTGTCGAGTCCTCTCAGTTGTTCTCCGAAGGCCAGCAGCGGCGCTGCTATTGTTTGTGTGTTTTTATGTTTTTAGTAGCATTTCATGAGTTTTTTCTCAAATGGACCTGCTTCTGTGGCTACAAAATTTAGACCTTATAGGCCCCAACTAAGTTCTATTCCTGAATCCACGCCAGTGACTGTAGGAGAGCAACATACGCCACTGCTACTACTGGGGAGTGGCGTGGGGGTGAAGCTCCCTGTGAGCCTCTTGGATCGATTGGGAAGAACAAGTCAAAAGATCTCCTTGATTCCAAGGTTTCGTAAGAACTAGTTCTATGGTCATATATTCCTGAAGTACGGGTTATTGGCAACTTATGTTGGCATGTGCATGCGGGTGTTCTTTATGATCTCTTTAAAATATTTGAGAAAGAAATATGAGTTTTATTCCTTCAAAGTAGAGTCACAATCAGCTCCTATGAGCTTAGAAATACAGTCTGGGGGTTGGCGCAACCAATAAACAGTATGACCCTTATTATACCAAGCTTTGCCCAGCAGTCGACGACCCCATTATCCTTAGGGTCGATTTTTTGAAGGATCAACTCACGGTCTTCAAGAAGTTTATTGGTATCTAGAATTACATGACGATGTGCAGAGCCTTCCAAGGATGATCCTAAAATGGCATTCAGAACAATTGCACAATCGGACTGGATAACAAGAGGTTGATAGGATCGTTCCAACGCCAAGGCACTTAGTACCTTCATGGGGTGCCCAAGCAAAAAAAAACTATTTTTCACAATGGTATTATGAATAAACAGGGGGTAGGACACGAGGTGAATAGTACTTCTCACCTAAATTCTCTATAGAAAAAGTAATTTTCACCTAAAAGGAATTTAATAATTTTGGCATTATACCTAGAGTGAGGAAACACTGTGAATTTTGAGTACACAAATTCATATAGGAAGGCCAGAGAACATGGCTAAGGGCCAGGTGGCCTAAAAATGAGTTGCTTCTTCCTAGTTTAAAAAATAAGCCTCCCCTTAAATTTATCGAGGCTTCTAAATTGGTTATCCCATAATTAATTTATGAACCCTAGTGAATGAGAGGGGTGGATTATGGAATGAGTTGGGAAGAAGGCTCCTTATTTTTTAAGCCGCCAAAAGAATTGGCCTTAGGTGTTGCCTCGAGGAACTATGCACTTGTCTAATCTCATGTATTCTCCTGTGGATGCCTTAAGCTTCTGGTTTTGGTGTACATAACTTGGATAGTTAATGGTTCTCAGGACATGCATTTGTCAGAGCATCGACCTCGGTAAGAACATGTAGGAAAAGAAGAATACTAGCTTGGACATTGTATACAGATCATCTCCTCTGTGTTGGATTCCTGACCGAGCTTCTATCATAGGTGTGTTGTAAGGGCACACTTGGATGTGGAGGTTCTTAGAGCATCTAGACCATAACAATGGAGGTCTCCTATGAGCGCACCTTCATGAAGATGTCATTCCTAATGCCATAAATCCTACAATATCCTAGTTCCCTAAGTGTGAATATGGATTTCAATATTTTTTGGAGAGAGAAAAAGATGGTCTTCGGTAACCACAAAATGATATCGGTCAAAATAATTATGAGTCCTCTCGCATAGTGGGCACAACATGGGTCAATGCTTTTTGGCTAGCTTATATCACCTACTCTTTGTGAGGGTGATTTGTGACACTTTACTATTTTAATCTACCTTTTGATTCTCAGCATTTGTTACTATACAACATACGACTTTAGTTGTTGAAATAATTTAGGTTTTCACTGACTCATACAAAGTTCAGTACTTGATGAACCATGTCATTACTTGCCTTAGGTAAGTTGGGGGCAAGTTCCTTCTTATTTACATTTATAGCTCGGATTGTTAAGATTCTCAGGACTCGTACTCATTAGAGCATCAACTTTGAAGGCCTTGTGCATGTGCCATAGGCGTGTTTCATCTGCAACAGACAAAGGATCCAGGTAGTGACGGGGCTAGGAAAAAATTATTGAGGGGCAGGGAGGGAAAAGTATAAAAAATTATAATGTAGTAAGCCCTCCCCAAAAAACTCATTTACATAGTGGCCCAACGCTGGGGCGCTGCCACACCACACCCCCCCACCCCCACCCC